ATTTTAGTGGAATTCAATTGTCAGTACTGAGAGTCTGGTTCCAATATTAACTACAGTAAGTACTAATGTTGTGTTTTTACGTGTAAACTGTCAATAGACCAATAACTACTAAAGGCTACATTTGACATTGAAAATCAATTGAAGACAGGATCATAATATGAACTACATGTATACAAGTTGATACTAAATTAGATGATACATGTATGATTACAGAGTAAGGTAAGGAGTAGGACAAGTTCTGAATTTTTTTTAGCTTCCAATGCTTACCAGTTCTTCTGATTAAAAAGATGTAACTGCCATATATCTTGATCAATTTATCAACTATGTGTTTTCCCCAGAATTGTATCCCTGACCCTGCCCTCAGAGGCCCATCACCCCCACACCAGGTTCAGGTGGTGGCAGCCCAGGCACTCGGGAGCCAATCAGGACGTCTGGGCCCTGGATGAGGTAACCATGACTACGGCCCTGTACAACACCATCAGTCTGGACTTCAGTAACCCGCTGGACGTCAACAATGCACTGAGCTTCCACCAGGGGGTCATAGGTCACCACTGTGGCAGGGATAACACTCTGTTGTAAGGAAGATATGCTTCATTTTTCTTAAAGTTTGTTATCTGAACTCTACATTCCTTACAAATAGCCAATTTGTTATAAGTTAAACCTAATTACTGTCCATAAGTCAGAAAGCAATGGAGCTGTAAAAGAAACCTGTTTAAGATGCATTTTTGAAGATTACTCATCTGCTTTTCTGACAACTCTCCAGTGTCACTGACGAAAGGTAGTGGATGCTACTTGAAACGTCTTACCATTTCCAAAATCATATCCAGTTGCTTGAGTAACAGTTTACTGTTTCTTGGGTAAATTTAAGTTTCAAATGTTTCAACCCCTATCCAGCAATTTTCATCACTGAAAAGAAAGGGAAATTAAATGTGCTTTGGGTTACACATTTCCTACTCAGGTATGCAGGCATGTATGAGAGGGACCTGGTACGCTATGTGGAGACCCAGTCCATGCAGATCGGTACTTCCTACATGATCCAGTTTGATCTGGTTATGGGCTGTGGAAACCAGTACAACAGCACCATAGACAACAGGGTGAGACATAACCTCCATTTATCCTATCCCACTTATTCACAACAACTTGTGAGAAGCTGACGTTTTGATGATTGTCTGTCATCTTCATCAGGGTAATTATGACTGGTTCACTGTGCACTGAAGCTTGGTGTAACTGCTAATTAATGTTTGGGACCACACTGTTATACCTACAGTAACACATAGCTTCAATGCACAGTGAATCAGTCAGCTCTTGTGAAACTTTGCTATTTTATGGTAATCGTGAATTGATACTGCATTTTTGGTGCAGAAATATGGGGGAAAGTGGGAAATGAGATATCAAGAATGTTGAGATGCTGATTGAATGTAATCTTTATGATCATCTCCATCCAGATCTACCTGGAGTACTCCATCAACCATGGTCTGACCTGGAAGCCTGTTGTGCAGGAGTGCCTCCCTCCCAACACAGGCTGCTCCCAGTACTGCAGCTCCAGCCAGTACCACCCCTCAGAGTTTGTGGAGTGGGGGAGGGTCACACTGCCTCTCTCAAGACGTACATGGTGAGTAGGACCCTTGCCTCATGGTCCCTATGATGACTAATATCTGTGTGGATGTTCAATGTCCGAACACTGTCACAGTGTGGCTTTTTCATTGTCAAATTAACCGGTAATTAAGTATTGTACAGCCTTGTTGAAATTGAACAATGTATTACTGAGCCTTCCAGTGTTGCCTTTTATCTATCAGACATTGCTTTTACAAATATGCAACACATCGGCAGAACGTACTGTGCCTTTGCAAAACCCAAAATGTATATATATTGGGCATAGCACTTTAGCAAAACATCTTGTTTAAGGAATTGACATTCTATTTACAATTTTAAATTTTGTGTCAGAAAAGATATCATCTGCAATGTGCAAAATTCTGTACGAAATATGGGTTTCGCGTAGTCTCTGCCGACGTGCTCAAACATGTATATGCCTGTATCAGGTGCTGAATGAAGAATACCATTATATTGTCAGAATGGCAGAGACTAAAGTCTCCTGTTCTCACAGGTCCAGCTCGACCAGGTTCCGTCTGCGCCAGTCCTACTACTCCCTGGCTGACACCTGGGCCTTGTCTCACCTGTACATCGGCCAGCAGTGCCCACACATGTGCAGGGGACACGGGCACTGTCACAACGGGAACTGCAGGTAGAGAGACATCACTCAGCACATACATTTGTACATGTATATGGCCTTTTATATGACTGTTTTCTTTGGCTAGCATCAGATTGGTGTTGTATATTTCCACTGTCAGAAGGAAAATAAACTGGGTTGTTATGACTCAGTTGTCCATGGCTTATTTTCATGTCTTACTGGTAACTGCCAAACCTTATGCAAAATTTGATGAGTCCCACATTGTATCATCTCATGTATAGGAATAAAGCTTGTAACAAAACTTTCCCAACATTTTTTAATACAGACCTGCCCCTATATCTGTATAAATCCACAGTACAATGTATTACACATTGTTCATGAATATAGGAAGCTTCCTATCTTGTCTGTATTTCTGTTTAGATGTGACCCAGGCTTCAGTGGTTCATCCTGCACCCCCACCACACAGCTGTATAACCACATTCGGTCAGGGTTTGACAGTGAGGTACTACTGCAGGCTGAGTGGCTAGTCGTGCAGGGCGGGGCCATCGCCCCTAGCAACGAGGGCTGTGGTGTCATCATGTCAGGATCCTCTCTGTACTTCTCTGGGGTAAGTTCATACAATTTATACTAATTATGTTTACCAAAGGAAAACATATTGTGTTTGCTCAGTTTCTTCCTCTTCTTCACCAAACAGTGACCTCTGACCTGGCCAATGACCTGATTTGTTGATGTCTGTTACATCATGTTGCAATTTCATAGTAGGAGGTATTTAGACTCCTGTCACCATATATATTATATGTGAATGTGTTTGAGTAATAATTAACAGAGCAGATCATATGGGAAGGTAAACATTATGTAGTTGCTTTGCAAATGTTACTTTTCTAGTTAAAGTTGCATTGCTGCTCATATGTGTGCTACCATTGTTGATAAAAAAATGTTTGATGGTTGTTTCACATAACTGGTAAACTGCATTAGAGTTTAGTGCACCACTTTTATACAGTAAGCACAAGCTGTGTAAGACTGGGCTGTAACGTTTGATCCACTCACACACCGAGAAGGACCCCTTCTCTTTTCGATAAGTGTGGTGAAATCTTTTTACATGCTCGAGGTTTGGTTTTCCTCAAACACAAGAGGGTTTGATAGTAACAACACTGGCAATTTCAGAGGAGCTATTTTCATCCTCGATAAGTTTGGCACAGTTCTTCTCTCTTTTTTGTTCTTTTTTCACACCAATTTTGATAAACCCCAGGGCCCAGCCTAACTAGTAGTATATCTTTTTTTTAAATATAACCCTTGAGTGTTGCTGTTGTTAAGAAAGAAAACACACTAAATTAATATTCTGTTCATAACTCATTCTCCCCTCAGGATGGTGTGAGACAACTGGTCAGTCTGGATATGGACTCTACAGAGGTCAACTTCATCCAGTTTTACATCCGGCTGGGAGGGGGTGATCCCAAAGAATGTAACAGCCCAGACAGAAGGGAGGAGGGGGTGCTGCTACAGTACAGTAATGACGGAGGCATCTCATGGGAGCTACTGAGAGAACTGTACTATGCTGACTACTCCTCTGTAAGGTATGTTATGTGTGGGGAAAGAAGATACATGTACAAAGTCATGCAGTGTTAGCTACATGTGGACAGCATTATTAACTGTTTAAAGCTGAACAGTCTGGTATGTAGAAAACGGAATAAACAAAAGCATCATCTATGTCATGTTTGTCCAGTTTCAGAAGTCATTTGCATAATTAATGTTGAAATGAAGTATGACATGCAAAATATTGTAATTTGAATTTAGAAAACCATAAATTAAACTAGATTATGGTAATTATGACCTTATTTCCATAGTCAATGAAACAAATAAAAGAAACATGATTAAATTTTACAAAAACTCATATTTCATGGAGGTATTAGATCTCCGAATTCTTGTTTATTCCAAGTTCATATTTTTAGCTATTTTTTCCCTGGTCTCACTGTCTTCTCTAAAGATACTACGTTGATCTTTTGTAGAGTATTCCTAGAATTGTTGTTACAGTAAGTAAAAGACCCATTGACATACATTATATCTTACACAATGCTTCCATTCGTAATGCAACAAGACAACTCTACAACAAAACTAGCTCTTATAGGCCGTAAATTCATCAAGTATGCAACAGAGGTTACGTTCCATTGTTCATATATTTGTTGTTTGCAGCTGTGGATTAGACATTATCTTGATGTGCTGCAGCGTTTTAAGGTAGCATACCATGACACTCTTAAAATGCTGATGAACCAGCCTAGGTTGTGGCAACAGTGTGTTATGTGCACACTTACGTAATATCGACACCTTCTGTGCCACCTACTTGTTCATGACATGCCTTTTCGCATCAAGAAACAGCATTGTGTACAATCTTTGATATATTCAGATGTGTTTACTCAAAGGCTGTACTGACCACACTTTTTAAACCTTTGTATGCATCATTTTTGTCTTTGGTAAGTGTATTTTGTACTTTGGCCTGAGACAAAGAGTAAGATAAAATAAACAGGAAAAGCTATATGGGACTAGACGGCAAGACAGATAGCATAAACTGCTTTACTCTAATTATGGAGAGCCTTAAAGCTTTTATATACCCTGATAATGTTGTTCACTACTATTACAATGTTGGGATGTGATGTGTTGTCCCTGTAGATAACTTTCATCATGTCCAATGACTGTTCAAAATAGCTGATTGCTTTACTGAGGTCGCCAAGATTTTGCCAACATACTCCAATGTTATTATGTGATAAAGCAATGTCAGGATGTACTGTGTTTTCCCCATAGATAGCTTTCATCATCTTTAGTGACTGTTCATAATAACTAATAGCTTTCCTCTGATTGCCAAGGTCACTCCAACATTTCCCAATGTTGTTTAGTGATGAAGCAATGTCAGGATGTTCTGTTGTTTCACAATAGATAATTTTCCTCATCTTCAGTGACTCTTCATAATAACTGATAGCTTTCCTCTGATCACCAAGAACACTCCAACATGCCCCAATGTTGTTTAGCGATGAAGCAATGTCAGGATGTGGTGTTGTTTTGCCATAGATAATTTTCCTCATCTTCAGTGACTCTTCATGATAACTGATAGCTTTCCTCTGATCACCAAGGTCACCAAGATCACTCCAACATTTACCAATGTTGTTTAGTGATGAAGCAATGGCGGGATGTGGAGTTGTTTTGCCATAGATGGCTTTCATCATCTCCAGTGACTGTTCATAATAACTGATAGCTTTTCTCTTGTCACCAAGGTCACTCCAGCATACCCCAATGTTGTTTAGCGATGAAGCAATGTCAGGATGTGGTGTTGTTTTGCCATAGATAATTTTCCTCATCTTCAGTGACTGTTCATGATAACTGATAGCTTTCCTCTGATCGCCAAGGTAACTCCAACATGCCCCAATGTTGCTTAGTGATGCAGCAATGTCGGGATGTTCTGTTGTTTCGCCATAGATAGCTTTTCTCATCTTCAGTGACTGTTCGTGATAAATGACAGCTTTCCTCTGATCGCCAAGCTTGCTCCAACATTGTCCAATGCTGTATAGTGATGCAGCAATGTTGGGATGTGGCGTTGTTTCCCCATAGATAGTTTTCGTCATCTTCAGTGACTGTTCGTGGTAACTGATAGCATTCCTGTAATCACCAAGGCAACTCGAACATGCCCCAATGTTTTGTAGTGACGCAGCAATGTCAGGATGTGGAGTTGTTTTGCCATAGATAGCTTTCCACATCTTCAGTGACTGTTCGTAATAACTGATAGCGTTCCTCTGATCGCCAAGCTCACTCCAACAGCCTCCAATGTTGTTTAGTGATGCAGCAATGTCAGGATGTGGCGTTGTTTTGTCATAGATAGCTCTCCTCATCTTCAACGAATGTTCGTAATAACTAATAGCTTTCCTCTTATCACCAAGCTTACTCCAACATACCCCAATGTTGTTTAGCGATGAAGCAATGTCAGGATGTTCTGTTGTTTTGCCATAGATAGCTTTTCTTATCTTCAGTGACTGTTCATGATAACTGATAGCTTTCCTCTGATTGCCAAGGTCACTCCAACACAATCCAATGTTGTTTAGTGATAAAGCAATGTCAGGATGTGCTGTTTTTTCACCATAGATGACTTCAATCATCTTTAGTGACTGTTCGTAATAACTGATAGCTTTCCTCTGATTGCCAATGTCACTCCAACATTTACCAATGTTATTTAGAGACAAAGCAATGTCAGGGTGTGCTGGTAATGGTTTGCCAGAGATAGCTTTCCTCATCTTTAGTGACTGTTCGTAATAACTGATAGCTTTCCTGTGATAACCTAGGTGACCCCAGCATTTGCCAATGTTGTTTAGTGATGCAGCGATGTCGGGATGTTCTGTTGTTTTGCCAAGGATAGCTTTCATCATCTTTAGTGACTGTTCGTGATAATTGATAGCTTTCCACTGATCACCAAGCTTACTCCAACATACCCCAATGTTGTTTAGCGATTTAGCAATGTTAGGATCAGCTGTTGTTTCGCCATAGATAGCCTTCAGTGATTGTTCGTGATAACTGAGAGCTTTACTCTGATCACCAAGGTCATTGCAAGATGCCCCAACGTTTGCAAGTAAGGAATTAATTTTGGGATGCGTTTTGGTGACTGTATGAGTAATATTTCCAATGCTAAGTGTCTGCTCATAGTAGCTGATTGCTTTCTCATAGTCACCACGCATGTGCGACACATTGCCTAATTCAAATATTGTATCAAACTGTTTTTCCTTGTCACCTCCTGCCTCTTTCAGTGCTGCCTCCAAATGACGTCTGGATGCATCTAACTGCAACAGCCGCTGTGTTATTCGACCCCTTGTTTGAGATGAGGTGTCAAAGATGGCTGTTGGGAATATCTCTGCTGTTGTATTTTCCTGTGCAACTGTTTTTATAATGCAGCTTTTTAGAGGGATGGCTGTATAGTAATACCTCAAAAGCATTTTTATGTCTGGTATGTAGAAAACTGACTGAACAACAGTGTCATTTATGTCATTTGCATGTTTGTCCAGTTGGACTTTCATCTCCATGAGAGGAGACAGTCTGTCCTTCTGTCCTCCGTTGGCAATGTATGTTCTTAACCGTAGTTCTGCTGAGATGCTGATCAGTACAGTCAAGTGGCGGGCATCTTCGTGACTGATCCGCTGTGTCTTCTGTAACTCTTCTATCATTTCCCACACACTTGGAATCGTTATGCCGCAGTAAATACTCAACACATCCATGACCACGCTGGGAAAACGGTAGATTTCTTTCTTGACATTCATAAGTTGTCCCGTTGGGTCAGCATTCACTATTAGCAGAACATCATCTTGCAGTATTGTCATTGCTGACTGCTGTAACAGCACAGGAGAACGGTCTACGCTTTTGTTGACTCTGTCCATATACTCTTCCACTAAAGGCTCATCCCCTGTTAGGTAAATCACCCGTCTGAGGATGTCTGACAGGTGATAGCCTTCCGCAAGGGCGATGTGCAGATGCTGATATTCTGCCAACTTGGCAGGAGTCTGGATGAGACTAATGGGAGGTTTGCTTTTGGTTTGGTCTCTTCCAAAGGGAGTCTTAGAAGCCCATGGCATAAAGCCGTCGAAGGCAAAGCCGTGAGGTGTGACGGAGTCAAAGAACCAGTTCTTCTCTGAGTCTTCTGAGAGAAAGTCGTTGAGTGACGGGATAGCCATGGCTGGGAGGATGGTTTCCCCAAGGTTGATGACTTTTAGATGTAAATAGTGCGTGAGATTTAAGAAGTAACTCTGTGTATCATCATCATCCTTCCCCTCCTCAATCAGAATGGCGAACTCCAGGTCGGAGTGCGGCGTCACCAGTTCTGTGGCTTGTGACCCCATCCCGATGAAAGCGTACTTACAGGGAGGAGGTCCGAGTTTGGCGATACATTCATCTGTCAGTACTTGGATGAACTCTTGTCTTCCAACTGTGATGCTCTTGAACAAGTTCTTGATTGCTTCAGCTCGTTTGATCTCTACCTCTCTCACAACAGGATTGTCTTCATCATACTGATAAGGGTTGTGTTCCTGATGAATTGTTTCGAGCTGAGATTTTGCACAGGCGCGCGAGTTGTCTAGTTCCTGTATGTGATCTAACGCGCTGCTATACGGACACGGTTCACAGTCAAGGTTACAGGTGTTTCTAAGAAACTGCTTTTCTGTTTCTTGCAGTTTTGTCAGCATGTTTTGCTTGTTTCCATCTGTTCTGGCCATGGAGGCGTTATACAGAGCTGCCGCCTGTGTGAATTTCCTACCTTCTCCTGTCTGCTTACCTCGCTCGACATAGACATCACCCAACCTGCACAGACAGTCAGCTTCTTTAGCCTTGTTGGGTTTACCGGGATCTGTAAGTAGAAATGATCAAAACAATCAAACATGACATTGTGCAGTTCTACTTCACCTGATACAATTGAGGATTGCAATTTAGGATGACAAACACAGAGGTCTTAAGTGAAATACCTTATATGATTTTGATAGTCATTATAGAACAAAATCTTCCATGATAAAGAAGAAGCATGCTCTTTAAATGGTCAGTAAAAACTTATAAAACTTACAATTAGATGGTGTTTGCAAGTGTATGAGTGTACCCAAATGTATATCATAATAACAAACCGTGAACCAGCTTCAAGGCGGCTGCTAGGTTTTGTTCTGCGGCATCCAGGTCTCCTTTTCCTAAGTCACTGTCTGCCGTCTGGAGGTACCTGCAATAGGAGCTGAAAAACGAAATAGGTTTTGAAACAAAACGTACTTTAGAATGGCAACTGCACTACAAAACGTTTGTGCAAAGGTGATAGTATGCCAAGTATCCATTAATTTTGTTACATGAATTTGTACAACATACCAGTAACAAACAAGCGTTATACAAACTACCATTTAAATTTCTGGCTATTCATCATTTAGCATTCCTTTACCAGAACTTGTATGTTTTTTTTACAAGGTTTGATATTGTACCACATTTCTATGTAACATCGTTTTAAACTATTGACTTATTACCTTCGGCAAGAAGGTTATGTTTTCATGGGCATTCGTGTGTCTCTGTGTGTGTGAACACGATAACTCTAGAAGGCTAAGATGGATTGTCTTGGTATTTGGTAGGTCGGTAGGTCTTGGTTAAATTTTGGGCCACCTGGCAGCTTGTTATGGTACTGCAACTGAACTACCGGTTTTGATATCTCGTCATCTGGATCACCAATTTTGGATGGTAGATAGCTCTTGGGCAAGGGAAGAAAATGATGCAACTTTGGGCCTCCTAGCAGCTTGTTCAGGAGCATTTGTTGACAAAATATTTGAATGTGGATAACTCAAGAACGGGTCGACGGATCATCATGGTTTTTGGCACGTAGGTAGCTTTAGTAATACTTGACATAATCAAATGGTAATTATGCAAATCAGCATCTAATTTGCATAGTTAATTAGGAATTCCACAAATCTGCTACCTTCCATGATATAACTATTCAAACTTATCACATACATGTATGTAATTGTAAACGAGAGGGACATTAACAGATATTAAATATGCAAATTTGCATAATTAATGAGAAAAATCAATGATTCTACTGTGGTAACTGTCAGAAATTTCCAATTGTGGCATTAGGAATCTAAGTATATATAAACATCACTGAACATAACTTATTCAAATCTAGACCTCATTTGCATAATTTATGTGGTAATTTTATAGTAACCTTCTTACATAAGATAAGACTGTCATAAGGTGGAAAACATGATCAACTTATTTGATTCATGCAAATGAGGGTTTTGATTTGCATAATCAACGAGGAAAATTAAGACTTTGTCAGTCGTAAAAGTTAACATTATTTGGCAAAGGTATGAGATCATGGAATTCTAGTTTGAATTTGAAACAATCAACGACACTTATTACATTAGACAAGGAAACATAAATTCTGAAGCACAAACATGTTCTCCTCCTCTTGACTGGTGGCTCTGTCGCTAGAGGGTGCAGCTGGGAATGGAGAGAAGTTGCCCTTCTGTCCTCTCATGTCTTGTTGTGTTTGTGTACGTGTTGACCTCTATGAGAACCGATAGGATTATAAGTACATGATTAACAGGGTATCGATTGCATAAGTGAACTTTGACCAATGGACGAAACGTGGTCTGTGAAAGGTCATTATGTTGCATACGTGTTGACCTCTATAAGCCAAATGTTATCCAAGCGTGTTATCTAACGCACAATTAAACTTTGAGGTAAAACTAAAAGACCTGATCATGTGACCCCTGGAAGGCCAACTTATTTTAGGCACCATTGACCACAATGACATAATAGGGAACATATTTTCCCTTAGTCAAAAGCTACGTCTACCCACAGACCCAAAAAACATTTTGAAAAATTACAGCTTATTGAACAATTCTGTCCTCAGACTTTAATGAAACCATGACTTTGTCAGCTGAAGCAAGAAATAACAATAAGGTGCATTATTAGTGCTGAATCTGATATCAGTCTTTGACTCCTTATTAATATGCCACTCATGTTCCCTTATTCCCCAAATACATTGTAGCTGCTTAGTTCACTCACCTTGTTTTTAGTTGTGGTGGTGTCTTGCCTGATTTTTGCAGTGTGCAGTAAGCGGTGA